TCTGCACTGGGAATGATACTGTGAGAATTGCCCCCTTCTGGCGGTTTTAGTTTCATATTTATTTATCCATGACAGGCCTAAACCAGCCAAGGTACCAGCACAAAAACACACTCAGCAAAATATTGTTTAGTTATTGTTATCGAGATATAATTTTTTGTCAATATCGCACACCCCTGCATTACTATTTAACCCTGGGTCATTGTAAATGGGTTATCAATGGGTTATCTTGTTTCGCGTTTCATGCTGCTGATACTAAACAATTAATCCTGGGTGTTCATAAGCCGACATTTCACACTGTACATTCCTTACGATTCTTATTTGCATATTTTGCTGTGTCAGTGTCATTGATTGAATGAATGCCACATGCAACCTGTTTACATGAAGTCTCTAGCATTGCACATCCTCATAGGCTATGTTGCTGAGTGTGCTATCAAGTTTTTCCTGAATGGACTCAACCCTAACCCTTTCCATTACTGTTAAAAGCACCTAAATATGAGGCACGCTGTTGGGTGTCTGTTGTTAATCATCTTGCCGTACCATTCGAACGCAATGCAGGAATAACACCCCAAGATGGTGCTAACCCTGCTGCTGGGATTCATAACCCCAGGTAAAAAGCAATTCTAACCCCATTTCAAGTGTGACCTTTACCCGGGGATAAAAATGTGGTTTAGAACAACGATAACCCATATATATATATATATATATATACACATACAGTGTATACTGTATATAATTGTTCACTGCCAAGTTCTTTGGGGAACTCAGAATGTTTATTTTATGGCATCGCTGTGAAAACTCTTTTGGAAACTTTATTTTTGAGAGGGTAGAATGAGCATTTACTGCCTAATACCAAACTATGGTTAAAAAAAATTCACATGATTTTGGAAATACATAAGCATAAGCATCCCATCTTATCCCATCTAATTGTTTCAGTAGGAAATATGTCAACGCAGGAAAGAACATTGCTTTCATCAAACCATTTCATAGGCTCTGTAAAGGACAGCTTTTGATGTTGGATGGATTGGCTTGGGAACAGTTTGTCAAGTTGCACTCATCTTCACACTGGAATGCGTATTCTGAAAATCCTTGATTTTATACAGAATGTAATTTTACACAAGAACCCTAATGCGCTAAACACAAATTCTGACCTGCTTGTGAATGATCTGTATCTTTCATTAAGTCAGTTTCTCATTTGGAACTGAATATTGATGGTTTTATAATTTTAAGGCATGCTTCTTCCTCCAGAGTGAAGTGCCTCTTTGAGTTCAGAGCGAGGCTGCGTATTAAACCATATGGTGTTCGTCACTCCACCTACACAGTAAAAGTAGCTACTTATTATGTTCAGTCTGGGGTCTGCTGCCTTGAATTTGCTAATGACATTTCCAGATTTTTTCTGAATGTTATTGTACTATATCTTTCTGCCGAGAAATAGAGGGAGAGACAAAATCAGCAGGAGTCATATGAGGTGAGGTCTCTAAACTAGACCCCGACCGATATATCGTTTTGCCGATATTATCGGCCGATATGAGCCTGTCGCTGATATATTGGTATCGGCAAATATGCCGCCAATATGAAATTTTTTTTACAGAACATATAACGCACATAAAATGCTTGAAATGGTGTAATTACTTAGTTTGTCCAGCCGAGCGCGCTCCATTGTTTGCTACTGGCGACCTGGATGAAACGCTTTAAAGCTTAAGTCTATGGAAAACCATTGAAACTTTGAACGGCCATATCTCCGTAACGGCGTGGCGAATCCGCACCAAATCCGGGGGATCCCTTCAGCTTGAGGAACCCTCTTGAATCGAGTGTACGTCTAGAGGCCCGCTTTCGAATGAGACCACCCCTGCATCGATAGCCCCCGGGGTTCGGGAGTTACGGGTGGTTAAATTTGCAGTCACAATTTAGCAAAATCAGACAATATTGTGTCTAATATAAACCACAATATTAACTTCTTATTATTGAATTCTTGTAAATAAATATCAAATTTGGAACTGGTCAGTGCTCAAAAAATGCTGGGAAATCACTTGTAGCCCTACAAGAGTGATTACTGATAAACTGTCTGAAAAAAAGTCACCCACTGACTTTCAAAGCTGCTAACGACTTTCTACTTTGAGGACCTTCATAGAAATGTAGTGGAGTGAAAAGTACAATATTTGTCTTTCAAATGTAGTGAAGTTAAAGTCATAAGTTCCCAGAAAAAAGAATACTCAAGTAAAGTACAGATACTCAAAAAGTGTACTTAAGTACAATACTCAAGTAAATGTACTTAGTTACGACTGGTACTGTACTATAATATACACAAAGAATATCGGCCGATATATCGATATCGGCCTTTTTTTTTTTACTCCCTAATATCGGTATTGGCCCCGAAAAACCCATATCAGTCGGGCTCTACTCTAAACTGAAACAAACACACTATATTTTATAACTGATTGAGTTAAATAGAGGTGCTCACATGCCATGGTTTTAGTTTAGGGTCCACTATTGTTCCACTGGTCCATTTTTGGGCGAAATGCTTAGAAAGTTCAGATATTACACTCACACAGCTGTTCGAGAGGATGATATACGTTATGGTCAAATAATTAATTGAAAAATAACATGTAATGTACCATAACGTAACACCAATGGGCCTGGGGCAGTGTTTTAATTTTGTATTTTGTTTTGCCCTAACCAGGCCTGCAGATGTTTTTTCATTAAGCTTCTTAAGCACTTTTATTTTTTAAGCACTTTTATTTTATTTTGTTTTGTTTCTTTTTTTATTTTATGCCCAATCCAGGCAAGTAGAATTTTTTTTGTATTATTTTATTTTTTTCTGTTTTATTTATTTATTCTTTTGAATTTTGTTTTCCCCAACAAGGGGCTTTTATTTATTTTGTTGTGATTTTTGTTTTGCTTCGGTTTGCCCTTGATAACATCTTCTTAAATCTGAGGACTCCAAAATGCCTCTGCTTTTGTTGTGAGAATGGCAAGAGAGGGGGACACCAAATCAAAAGCAGAGGGCACTGGCTTGGGGCCCCTATGCTGGAAGTGCAATATTTGTTGAGATTCTCCAAAATGACTTCCCAACCTCAGCAGCTGCCCGTGCGTGAATGGCTCTTTGTTCCTGCAGCTGTTTGCAGAGAGAGAGAGAGAGAAAGAGAGCGCATGCTCTCCTCACCTTACTGAGAGAAAATGAGAAAAGGGCAGAAAGATAGGAGAAGGAAGGAAGCAGAGTGAAAGCTATAGTTTCAGAAACTGATGAAGTTGCGGCTTTCGTTACTCCTCTCTCGGGGACACCCCCCAGTGTAGCATGTGGTTGTTTTTAACCATTGATAAATGTTCTGATTGACATTTGAGGTTTTAATCCATCTGTGCCTCTGTGCATCTTTGTGTAAGTTTTACATATATTGATTCTCCACAGTGCACTGGGGTAGCGTGTGATGGGTTAAGGCACTGTTCCTCACCCGTTGCTACACGGGTGGCTGATTGTGCTGAATGTAACTGCTAAACCCAAAAATAAATGCTTGGTTTTGCTTCAGTAAACTAGCGTGACAAACCTGTGATGCTGTTAGGTCAGGTTAATAAGAGTGTTATTGGCCTTTAGACTGTGCATGTGTAAACATATCTACGCACTCTGTGTGGGATGGTGATGTATGCCTATTAAAATCTGCTACTTTCATAATAGGTAATCTTTATGAGCTAATGAAAAAAACATCAGAGAGGCAGCCATGTCGAAACTGGTGAGTTGTGCAGCAGTCACAAACTGGAGTCTTGCGGTGCTCTAAACTGTAAATATTTAGAAATATGAACCTTTTCATTGATTTATAATAATAAACTGTCTGAAAATAATAGGAAATTGCTTCTAAGACTGCTATTAATATCAGTTTTGCTGATGTTTGGACCTACATTCACCATTATTTACTTCAAAAACACTGAACCTGTATTTGGGACGGTGGCCATGGAAAACTTTTCATTTTCAGTTTTCAAAAAGTTAATTTTGTCAAAATGGAATTAAACTAACTGAATTGAGTCTGACGTGACATTTCAGAGGCTCTGAGCAGACGTAAATGTTTGAATGCCAGTGTAGATTTGTTTGAAAGGTTTATATTTAATGACACAATATCTGTCATGATGCAGATGGTATGTTTATTATTGCAGCACTTTGTCAGGTCAGGTAGTGGACTTAGTGAAACTGCATATGGATAATGCATGTTGTATTTAAGCTCCACTAGTGTGGCATGTGTTGGCTTTAGCCCACCCTCCGGTGAACTCTGATTGGCCGCTTCATCGCTCAAGTTCAGTTGTGGTCATGTTAATTAGCTGTCATCTGTTAATGGTATTAACAGCAAACTCCAGGTGTCTAATCTGACGATTATCTTCACTGCAGCATTTCTTTTATTGTGTCGTTTAAATCACTATGTATATTGAAAAGTGGCTGTTCAGAGTATTTTCACAGACAGTATTTTCACTTTATGCTTTAGTTTTTCATTTTCTGGATATTAGACATGTTTTAGTGATTATGAAACAAGCGTACAGTATTCAAAGTATGACCAGGATGTAACTTAGTTCAAGTTTACTTGTTTATTTGCATTATTTTGTGTAAATGTAAGTTGTAATTTTTTGAAAGAAGTCTCTTATGCTCACCAAATCTGTATTTATTAAATCAAAAGTACAGTAAAACTGTAAAATTCAACGTTTGTACTATTTTTATATATATTTTTTTATCCGGTTATTAAAAGTATTTTTTTGTTCTTTTAAATATTTTAAAATGGCAAAGCTGAATTTTCAGAAGTGAAAAGCGTTGATACTGCAGCTCAGGTCAGTATGACCCATCTCTTGTTTTCTTCATTCCCACCATTCACACAAGGCTTAATTAGTGGGTTGAGATTAACAAGTGCCGCTACCTCAACCAGAGCCTTGCTGTCTCTTCCCATCTAAGTCCACAGGATGTGACATTAAGACTCTAATACCCTGCTGCTTGGTCACTGACTGACATCTTTCTCTCTCTCGTTCTACAGAGCTAGTGGGGACTGTTCAAGAAGACACCCTGCTGCTACTTTTTCTGCCACGTCTGGCTCTTAGAAAAAAAGCGTTTTCTTCCAGCCATGTGGCTAACGGCACTCATACACCCCTCCGCCATCCTGTTTTTGACCCTCAGCAGCTTGGCCTCTGCAGGTAAGCGCTGTTATCCTTGTAACCCATCATCTCTCTCCTGGGATTTTGGAATAACAGGTCAAGAGTGAGTGAATGTGGCATGACGTTGCATGAGTCGTCTATATCTTCTGTTCCGTTTGCCTTATGAAGATGAAGAAAAGACGGGGAATTTATGAGGGATGTTTTAAACAGTTTTAAACAACCTATGTCATGGCTCATGATGAAGTGAATACCAGTGCTTGAGCACACTTGGGAATTTTGAGTGTGTTTTATGTAAAGTGTAAATTTCTGGTCATCAAGCAGTGCCAAATGGACCCATTGTTTAAACAAATAGGTAGTCTCCAAACTCATGCCAATGTTTAAGCCAAAATGTTTAAGCCTGTCAAACAGCAGTTTTTGGAACCGTGCATAGTGATGCTACTGTAGGAAGAACAAACCTCAGTACTTAATGGGGTGATGGGAAGTTACCTTCAAATATTTGTGCCAGAAACACCAATGTTTTGTTATTCACGTAGCTAACTATAAACCTGCAACATTTTGATATCACATTGTTCATTTTTACAGTGTTTTGTTTTTGTCTTTTAATGAAAATGTCCTTTTTCAGCTTTACTCAAAAATGGCATCTAAATTTTGTAAAAGAAACATTTTATTTGGCAAATAAATGCAAAATTACACCAAATATTCAAACACTTTATATATTAATTTTAACATATATCAATATTTAACAAAAACCACATGTAAAAACTATCCTGGTGGATTACCTTAGCTTCTGAAATGATATTATAAGTACACATTATAATATGTTGTGAGTTCTTTATGCTTTAGCTTTTCTTTTTTTCTGGGGGTTAGATATGTTTTAGTGTGTTAGCATTCATAAGATGTAATCTAGTTGCAAGTCCACTTGTGCATTGTATAATTTTTTATTAAAGCAAGTTCTAATTTTAAGTTTATGTTGTATATATACACTACAGTTCAAAAATGTTTTTTTTTTTTAAAGAAGACTCCTAAGCTCAGCAAGGCTGCATTTATTTAATTAAAAATACTGTAACAATGTGAAATATTTTTACAATTTAAAACATTTAGTTTTTTAGTTTTAATATATTTTAAAATGTAATTTATTCTTGTCTTGGCAAAGATGAATTTTCAGAAGTCTTTTAGTCTTCAATGTCACACGATCCTTAAGAAATCATTTGAATATGCTTATTTGGTGCTCAAAATTTCTTTTTTTTAAATAATCACAATTAAAAAATGTTGATTAATAGAAAGTTCAAAAGAACAGCATTTATTTGAAATAGAAATCTTTTGTAATAAATGTCTTTACTGTCATATTTGATAAACATTATTGCAGAATAAAAATTTTTTTACGGTAGTGTATCTGATTAATCTTACATGTAGTTAATTAATGTGCTAGCATATTTTTTTCATGTGAAAATCAACTCGGTTGCCATCATGATGTGCTTTTTTCAATTCATCTTCATTTTTATTGACAAAAACCATTACTAAAGTTGGATTTTCATCTGTAATTTTGATGATGAAATTGACACAATATCTGACTGGATTTAGTCACAGAAAACGGGGCATGTTCTTTGCAGAGACTCTTCGTAGGGCGTTTTCTCGATAAGCTATACTCGCCGCTCATTGTCTTGACAGAGTGAGGCAGTGTTGCCTGTTTTGTCAGGCAATCACAATTCGCCCCCTGTGTTCGGAATTTCCCCGGTTCCTCCCAGCATGAGTCTTCTAGATCTGGCTGTCAGAGAGCAAAGGCCAGGGGGGATTTGCATTAAGAAAGTGCTGACAGCCTCAATCTCTCAGCCCGAAACACCAGTGCCGCACGTCAGCTATGCCTCCTCTAACCCGACTCAGGCAGCTCTGTCTGTGTGATTGATCAGGACTTGTTGGCTCAGTCTCTTCTGAAGAGTGATGATTTGTTCCCCTCTGGCACAACAGCCTGACAGATAGTTGCATGCCAAGAGAAAAAGGGAAAGAAAACAATAAGGCAGCAACAAAACAAACATGAGGAACAGGCAACATTATGACAGTCATCAAGTCTGGGTTGTCGGGATGGAGAGTTGTGATTTAAGAGCGCACATATTTCACACCATTCTATGATTTTGCTCTCACTTGTTCTGTCAAACATCTCTTTGTTGGTAACAGATCCCACTGGTCATTCTCAGCGGTTTTGTGATTTCTCTGTCAGTCAAACTGAATGCTTTTCTTCTGGAGTTAAAGACCAAATCACATTCCTGAGGTGTAGATATTGGAATAAAATCACTCAATAAAATATAATAAAATTCATCAGATATTAATGATTAGGCTTGTCATTCAAAACAACAAGCCACTTTCAATCAAATTAATTAACTAACTATTATGACTGAATCAAATGAATTAACTAATAATTATGCTTATCAATTATTAATTAATTAAATTAACAGCCTATACAGTTCAAATGTTTGGGGATTTTTTTAGAAGATTTTTTTTTTAAAAGTCTATAATGTTCATGAAGGCTACATTTATTTTATCAACAGTAAAATCAGTCATATTGTGAAATATTATTACAACTTAAAATAACTGTTTATTTATATGTTAATATATTTTAAAAATGTAATTTATTCCTGTGATAGCAAATCTGAATTACTCCAGTCTTCAGTCACATGATCCTTCTGAAATTATTCAGAGATGCTGGTTTACTAATAATAATAATAATAATAATATGCTTAATTTATAGCGCCTTTCCCAAGCTCAAGGACGCTTCACAATGAAAGTAACAGAAAAACAATCATTTCATACATAATCAATTAAATGGACAATGGACATTTGCCAAGTCCAAGACATGTGCGATTGCAGTTGCATATCACATTTATTATTTATTATCATCATTTACAGCTCAAAAAACATCTCTTTTTATGATCAATGTTGAAAGTGGTTGTGCTGCTTAATAATTCTGTGGAAACCTTGACATTTAAACCTTATTACATTTATTTATGATTCTGTGATGAATACAAAGCATTTATTTGAAATAGAGATCCTTTGTAACATTTCACTTGTCTTTACTGTCACTTATAAATCTAACATGAAAAGACATTCAATTCTTGCGGCAGGGGCATGATTAAATCTTTTTAAACAGTTTTTTAATGAACAATTACACTAAATTGATGTTTTAAATGCACAACACTACTAAATTCACGAAACATGTGGTTGCCAGGAAGTTGACGTTAACCAGCCAGATAATTAACAATTAAAGGATTATAAAAGTCGACAACTCTCAGAGGTGAGAATTAAGCCATGCTAAATAAGAGACGTAAGTCTTTTTGAATAAGAAAAAAAAAGGATGCAAAAAGTGCTGCGCGAGGTGGGTGTGGGATAATTCAACTCTAAACCATATCAATCCAAGGAACTCAAGAATTGAAGGAAAAGTGACCTGATTCTCGGGCTGCTCACAGCGGAACGGTTCCTGTTAGTGATGGTGAAGCAGGAGGACAATGGCCACTGTGTCAGAATGTCCCTTGAGTTTAGTGAAGTTTGGCCTGAAAACAATCCCACCTACCTCTTCCTTTAGCTCTCTTGAGCAAGCATTGTTGCTTTGCACTATATATTCACTTCCTTAGAGTCTTTCTCTGACATTTTGGCATATTTACCTGGAGCGCATTTATTGAGGCTCTTCCTTTAAAGTTTATTTTATTTTGTAGTATTGTTGATGAAGCTGTCATAAACCTTTGTCTTGGGTGATGTTGATCTTGATAAATCGGAGTCTAAACAAACTTTATGAGTGCCAGATCTTGGCATGCTTGTACTCAATCTTTTTCTTTTTGTTTTAGAGCATAGCGGCCTCCCTCAGAGACTCCCGCCTCTAGTTTTCTAAAAACTAGGACATTATCTAATCTGCAGCATCAAAGTGTCTGCAGCCCTGAGTTCTTTCCGCATGGACTTCAGATCACTGCCAGTCATAACCTGTGTTCAGCTCTAGTCATCTGATTATAGAGATGACAGAGGTGTGATATATGAACATCTCCATGTCTTTTGAGACCTTGTCACCAGAACGTCTCTTCTTCAATGCTGTATGTCATGTGACAGTTGAGAAATGTGTAACCTATATGACAAAACAGGAAGAAGATCTGTCTCAGTGTGTCCCAGGATGGATCTCACTTATGTGATGTAACTGATACAGCAAGCTAAGAAATAGTTTCACAGTGTTCAATTTTTAGGTCTATATATGTAATTAATGTTTACAATTCAATGAGAATTGCATGTAATTGCTTTATAATAGGCCATAATGAGCTAATGAAAAAAACCAAGATGTGAAAAAAAGTGTAAAATGTGTTCTCTTTCTCTTGGGTATCGTTTGTTTTTTTTTCGATACCAGTGCCAAATCGATACTTTTAAAACGGTTCCGGTGCCTGAACCGATACTTATTAAAAAATAAAAAAATCCCCCCAAAAATGATAGGCTATTAGAATAGAAATAGAATAGAGAGTGCAAATGTTAGAGGACAAGGGAGGTTTAGCTTTAGGCATTTTAATTTAAGCATGTTTAGCTTAGTTAACGGAAGGCTACCTGCTGCCATCAGAGCAAGTGTAATTACTGCATTCACGCACTCCTCGAATGCTCTCATTTCCCGAGTTGTGAGTTGTGCTTTGTGCTTTGTGCTTTTCACAAGTCGGAATGTGAAAACAACATGGACACTCTCGTTACTACAAAGATGTGTTGGATTTGTATTATTAGAGCTTTCCGACTTGAGTTCACATGCATTTTCTCAGTCGGGAAATTATTTTTCACGTGCGGTGCCAGTGATGATGCTTCTTACGTCCGTTTCGGAGAACCAGAGGACAAATACTTCAATCGATCGCTCAGGCATGGCACCGAAATGAGGCACCGAAATCGGCGTTCGGATTCGGTTTTAGTACATACCGGTTACATAGGTACCGGTGCCATATTGGTACCGGGTTTCGGTACCCAACCCTACTCTTTCCTTTATCTCACTTCATTCTTCCTGCGCAAACCGTAGGCTAATATCTGTTCTTTAA